GGGGAAACTTCTGCCCGGGGACAAACCCCGACCACCCAGGCCAATGAGACTCCAACAGCCCCACCTCGGTCACGTCCTCGGCCAAGGGGTACTCCCGAGGTTGTTGACCTCGAGGATGAGGTCCCACCTATGCCTTCCTTCCAAGATCAGGATCCTGACTGGTGTCCCCTGGTGTCCAGTATCGTGGACAAGTATCAGAAGGACCACGGTTTTGATGAGGGTATGAAGGCTTTTGAATCTCTCACGCTGAAAGTAAGCTCGCTCAACTTACTTGGTGTTTAATATAAGGTTTATATGATGTGATTGCTTAAGCTCGGGTTTATATGATGCAGGCTCTGAGCATTGCCCGAGGCCTTTCTTTGAAGGGGAAAGATGAGGCACAAAAAACTACTGAACTCGAGGACGTTTCTCGAGCACATGAGAAGAGGATAGCCGACTTGGAGGCTGAGCGCTTTCTTCTTCAAAAGGAGCTCGAGGACTCGAAGAACGACGTCCAGAAAGCTCGAGAAGAGGCTGGAGCTGCCAAGGGCGAGGCCGAAGGTTTAAAGCTCGAGATCGAGCGTTTGAAGATTGATTTTGAGACTCGCCTGGCTGAAGCTCCAGGGGTTGCGATCGAGTACTTCAAAATGTCCGAGGAGTTCAACGGTCTTAAGGGAGAGTACGCCATGGGCTTGTACTTCCATGCTTTCAAGGAGGCTAGGGCATTTTTGAGATCGAAGCCCGACGCCAAACCCGAGGATTTAAAGAGCATCCCTAAGGTTGCTGATGACCTCGAGCTTTCAGAGTCCGAGGAAACCGTCGAGGACCATGAGGTCGATGATGACGGCGAGGACGCGGTGGAGGAGCAGGAGAGCACAGCCTCGGGAGAAAGGGCAGAGGACCTAGATTAGTTTATGTCTTTTCTTATGATGACACCCCCTTTCTTTTTGTAATTTGAACATGTATTTTGCTCGATCAAGTATTTTTCTTTTTGCTGTATGGCTGATGTCTTGATCATGACAAACTCAAATAGCTCGACGAGATGGTTCAATAACTCGACGCCTAAGATGAATTGAAACTCAACACCTAGAGTAGTTAAAATATCTCGAGGACTCAATTTGTGAAATTATTTCCGAACATTATAGCATGTACACAAAATTATCCCGAGGACTCAAATTGTAAAATCATTTTTGAACATCAAGTGTTGAACTCGAGCTTGTAGACAAGTTACCTCGATGACAAAAAAGATTAATTATCTTGACGACTAATATTACATCTCGACGATTGAGAAAAAATAACTCAATTTTAAACAAGTTACAATGCCGAGGACAGTGGTGAAAGTAGGATGTATTTTAACACTAAACACTTAACACTCGAGGACTAATCTCGAGGGGTGGTAACTTCGAGGTGTACGAAGAATTGTGACCGACCTCTGTACAGAAAGTACATCCCGAGCTTTCACTTTGGAACCTAAACAATAATTCATGATGTATATCCTCGGGATGTATAGTTGCTCGGGGCTCCAAGGTTTTGTGCTTGCTCGGGGCAAGGCTTTCATTAGCTTGTTGAGGACAAGGCTTTGGTCGGCTTGCTCGAAGACAAGGCTTACATTGGCTTGTCGAGGACAAGGCTTTGGTCGGCTTGCTCGAGGGTAAGGCTTACATTGACTTGTCGCGGACAAGGCTTAGGCAATTCCTGGACGCAAAGCAAACTATCCGGGTGTTATACCTAAGGCTTGGATTTATTAATTGCTCGAATTGGACTCGAATTTATATTGTATCCAAGCTGCCTACGTATCCAAATGGGATCAAGCCGAACGTAGTTCATTACAAAAAAAATGAAAAATATGCATGGGCACGCAGGCCCGCTAAACTAGAAATAAAATACAAGGGTACGCAGGCTCGAAGAACCAAAAATAACATTCAGAAGAATTAAAAATGCAGGAAAAGAAAATCTCCTAAATGGCATCGGGAATGTTACTTGTAATATATTTTTAGATTATCGACATTCCAGGGCCTTGGAAGAGGTCTACCCGAAGTGTCTCTTAGGCTGTATGCTCCTTTGCGAACCTGTCGTATGACCTCAAAGGGTCCTTCCCAGATGGGCCCGAGCTTCCCTAGGGGGTGACCTGCTGCTTTAGCCCTCCTCAAGACCAAGTCGTCGGTTCTGAACCTCCGAGTCTTGACTTTGCTATTAAAATATTTTGCTCTCTTAGTTTGGTAAGAGGCCACCTTTATAGCAGCTTGCTCCCGTACTTCTTCCAAGAGATCAAGGTGTTCAGTTGTATGCTCTGAGATTTCTGGCACAAGCCTCCTATGGCTTGGCAGTCTAATTTCTACCGGGACCATTGCTTTAATGCCATAGGCTAACATAAAAGGGGTTTCTCCTGTGGTTGTCCTATGAGTTGTTCTATACGTCCACAGTATAGAAGGCAACTTGTCGGACCAAGAACGCCTAGCATTGCTAATTCTTGTTCGGAGGTCTTGTAATATGATTCGATTTGTAACCTTGGCCAGACCATTGCTCTGAGGATGCGAAACTGATGTCAGACGGTGATCAATCCCAAGGTTTGAGCAAAAGTCCTTAAATTGTTGATTGTCAAATTGCCTGCCATTGTCGATGATGAGGACCTTCGGTATCCCAAACCTGCAAATGATAGACTTCCAAGTGAAGGCCCTTAGGTTGGGCTCCGATATCATGGCGAGAGGTTCGGCCTCTGCCCATTTTGTGAAATACTCTACTACTACAGCAACAAACTTTAATTGACCTCTTGCCACAGGAAAGGGGCCGAGGATGTCAACTCCCCATTGTTCAAACGGGACCTCATGCTACCAAAAATCGTACCTGCAGATTTTTAGAGCTTGATGACTGATGAGGAGCACGAAAGTGATCTTCCAATATCTGAAACAAAGGCAACGAGGTGTGTTCTCGTCGTCCCTCCGATGCTTAAGTCAGAAAGGGAATTATATGCATGAGGCTATGTGTTGGAGAACAATGAAAAACGTACCTGAATAATGACTCAAGGTTCTGTATTTATAGTAGTAAGTGACATTCTCCTAGTGGGACTCAACTAGTTGGATGTCCTTATCTGTTGGAGTCCTGAATAGTTAAGTAGTTGGTCGAATTCCATAATTATATGTGGGATAGAATCCATGCGGGAGTCAAGAGTCCTAATTGCGTAGGAATTCTAAAGGCCATCGTCGGTTGTGAGGGGAGCATATGCTCGAGGACTGTGATGCTCGAGGACAAATATTGCAATATGCGAAGCAGCCAGGCGGAGGTGGTCGGGCTTAGTGCCTCGAGGATGCACATGCTTGAGGACACCATAGTTGGATTTATAACTTTATCAAAAATAGTCGTCGGGATAATATATTGATCGGGGATATTGGAAAATGCCACCATCAATTGTTATCTGTACAAAGAACTTGATTTCAACAGCCGATAGATTTCTTTATAATGCAATTCAACCAATTTAATACTAATCTTAGAGTACCTCTGATCATCTGAATTGTACACATCATCATCGTCAATGCTGCTTTCCTCTTCTTTCTCTTCTACCTCTTTAGGATCAGGTGATGCATCAGAAGCAGAATCCAACTCTGCATCTAGAATCGCTGCAAAGTCATCACTACTTGATGAATGATCTGAAGAGTTTGTTGTTAAACTCATCTAATCATTGCACCCAGAAAAATAAATAACGTGAAAAATTCAACAGTCGAGTAACACATAAAATAGCTAAGCATATTAATAAGGGCCTTCAAAATTGACTATTTGTCCCCCTATTAGAGGTGTTTCGGAAATATGTGTGAGTAGAAATGAAAATTGAAGAAATTTGAAGAGAAATAAATGATTCAATCAAATAAAATAATATTACTATGGTTCGAGAGTCAAAACAGCTTAAGCCCCCATTTGGTAACAATTTTTCATCCAAAAAAATTAAATTTTTGACTGTTATTTCACTATTCCAGCTATCATTTTTTACTTTTTCACTCACTGATGGAACCCACTTTTCTCTCTAACGGTCAAAAACTCAATTGCCATGATCACTACCTAACAAGCCTAAATCAATCACCTTTCACGCTTTCAGATTATTAATATACCTAAAATTTGCTGAACATTGTAAAAGTTTGTTCTTTTCCTTTTTTTTTTTTTTTGTCAGACCAAACTTTGATTGGAATTTAAAGTTGGGAGGAAAATCAGAAACCCTAATATCTAAATACACCACCATAACTAATAGAATTCATATAATATGTTTGCCAAAAGTGTATCTGCAATAATCAAAAGTTAGAGGGGGAGGATGAAAAGAAGATAGAGGGGATTATTGGAGCCATGCAGCCTGGCGGGCAATGTCAAAAATATTTACAAAAATAACTACAGGTATTAGTCAGAGAAAAATCAAATACCTAGAAATTAGTTTTAAAATGTTCAACTTTTACAAATTATTTAGGCGATCCAAATTGATAAGATACAATAATTTTTAGTCGAGTGTGTTTTACTTTATGAGTAGACTATCACATTTCATTTAGTTGTTCGAAATTGAGTAACTAATTAAACCCGAATACGAGATTCTTAACACGTGAGATTGGCTGAAAATTTCAATTAGTATGATTGAAACTTTAATTAACCTAATTGTGTCACGTGACAAAATATTTTAAAATATATTAAAAACTCATATTTTTTTTTGGAAAAATGATCGTGACTTTTGGATTTATGTCTTCCCAACAAGTTATACAGTTAAAACTCGATAAAGTAATGTTCAATAAAGTAATAACCTTGATTATATAATAATTTCTTTCGATCCCGACTTGGGCCAATGGACTAAAATAAAAACCTCACTAAATGCATTAAGTAATAAAAAAAATTGAATCCTTAAGGGCCCAATAAAAATATAAAGTAATAATTACTGGATTTCATTGAAAAAAAAAAAAAAATATATATATATATATAGACCAAAATCTTTCGATCAATCAACAATACCATTACAATAATCATTCCTTTTGAAAATATGCATCTATAGTTGATTATTTTTTCTTCCCACTTAAACCAAAATGAATCTCATCCTTAACTTTTTGTAGAGCATACACAACTTCCGGAATATTTTGCTCGTGTTGTAGCAAGTAGTTGCTTAATGTGACTATTGATTGAAATGCCTCTTTTGACAACACATTTGGGACAACGCTACCATCATCTGGTTCATGATCATTCTCATCATCATTACTGTTCATTACCGATTGAATAATTTCTTCGTCTATAGATAATTCCATAATTGCATCATTCTCGCTAGGATAGTTCAAAAGATGTTCAACATTCATCATATTTCTATAGTGTAAATTAGAGATGACATCATTTAATTCTTGGACACCTTCATCTAATTCACGAACTTTTGGTTCGGGAACATTGTTTTCTTCTAACCGAATCTTGTAATGCCGAAAACAATTTGCAATTGTTGTTGTCTTCACATCAAAATTCCAAGCCATGTTAGCAAATTTAATAGCATTCAAAATATTAATTTTTTCAGGATTTGGTGCTTCAACCTCAAGGCCTTGTAAGATGTTAGAATAAAAACGACGACGATAATGAGCTTTGAATGCTCGAATAATCCCAGTATCACATGGTTGAATCTTAGATGTTGTGTTAGGAGGTAAGAAAAATAACTCTACATTTATCAAGCCTTCAACTACCTTTGGATGAGCTGGGCAATTGTCTACTATTAAGAGAACCTTCCTGCCATTCATTCTCTTATCAAACCAACCAACAAAATCTTGAAAAAGCAAGTCAGTCGTCCAAGCTTTCTTGTTGGATCAATACTTGCAATTAAGATTGTTCATGTTTACATTTTTAAAGCATCTAGGATTTACATACTTACCAATAATCCAAAGTGGTACTTTGTCAGATCCATCACCATTGCAACAAACAACAACAGTAATTCTCTCCTTATCTTTTTTGCGTCTTTCGAGCTGCTTGGTAGCAAGCGAATGATCAGCTTCCAATCGGTAAAATAATATAGTTTCATCCATATTGTAAATATCCTTCAACTGAAACTGGTCTAGTTTTGATCGTATTCCAGGTAAAGCATTTTCAATGTTCTCCATGATAACTGAACCACTTTCACCAAAACGTAGGTAAGATTTGATTCCATATCTTGCCTTGAAACGTTCTAACCATCCACTAGAAAAGCTGAATTCTGGATTAATTTCACCATACATTTTTTGTAAAAACTCTTTTGCTCTTCCTTGGATAATTTCTCCAGACATGTTTACTTTATCTTGCCTTTGAAGAAATCACTCATACAAAACTTTCTCTAAATTAGGGTATTTTGTCGATTTGTGCCTTTTAACATCGCTATTTTTCATCTCATTTGACAAATATTTCGACGCCCTTTTGAGAGTGTTCGATATTGTTGATTAACTAATAGTCAAATCAAACTTTTGTTGCACCCATGCTTGCATATCTTTTTGGCTAATAGTTTGATTCTCTTTCTTATGCTCACATATTGCACTCCTCATTTTATCGGTTAAAGTTGATTTTTTTACTCCTTTTAAATGATGAGAAGACATTGAAGGGGAAACAAAATATTATATGTACTTGGAATATGTCTTCCAAACATCTAGCTTTTATAGGTAAAGACTAAACATTTTCATTTGCTATGTACGTGAACTTAGTTTTTAGAGACATTATGATATGATCCAGGAGTCAAACCCGACGAAGGCAAGTGCGAGACGAAACCCGTTGATAGTCGATGGCGAACCAATGACGCGATCAAGGGCAAAGCAAGTGAAACAAGTGATGTGATTGTTCGTTCAAGAAACCATTGATGGAACCATGTTCGGGACTTGAAATGGAGCAACTTTCATGTTCGGGTCGAAGGTCGAATCAATTTGGATCAATTTGTTATCAAGCGACGAAAGCAGAGGCTGAAGACAACACCATGCGGCCGCACACATGCATACCGAAAACCAAAAGACCAATTCTAGTTGAACCATGCGACCGCATGGATTTACACCATGCGGCCGCACCAGCCAAAAAAATTGGCGAATTTTCTAATTTTGGCCGAATTTTCTAGTTTTGATAGAATTCTTATGAAATCAAATTATTACCATAATTTGATGGTTTTGGACGTTTTTATTCATTAATATAAATAGGAGATTACTTTTCATTGTAACAATTTTGAACTTTTGACTTTTGAATTAATATTATAGAGAGAGAAATTTATTCTTTCAATTTATTGTTCTTCTTGAACAATCTTGGAATTTATCAAGAATCAACTTCTTGTGGCGTTCTAATCAATCGGATTGTGGGTTCTTTCAATTGTAATTAAGGGGTTTTAGGTTCTTCGCTAATCTAGAGTTTCTTGGTTCAATTCTTGGGATTCAAGATCCAAAACCGGGTTAGTATTGGCGTTCTTGGGTTCCGCATCAATCTCGTTGTGGGTTTCGTAGTTTCCATTGTTACGGGGTTCGCATCAATTGGTATCAGAGCTTTGGCTCCAATTTAATCAGGTTATATCCTTTGTTTTCTAATTTTTTTTTCAATTCCTTGTGTTCTTGTGTCCAGAAGGTTTTCTTGATCCTTTGATCCAAAAGTTTCATAAAAAATCTTCAAATTCATTTATGGGCTCAATTTTCTCCCAAATTAGTTTTCGTTTTCTTTGTTGGTTTTGATATAGATTTTCGAATCTAAAAAAAAAATTTGCTGTTCATCCGTACAGTAAAAAAAACTGTTAAATATTATTGATCCGTCAAATACCAACTTTTATTATTCATTATCGTTTCTAAATTACTTGGACACATTGAATCATTCCATTCCTTCAATTCAAATCAAGTTTTAAAAGTTTTCTTTGAGTCATTTGTTACAATTATTGAGTCACATCCGGTTTGGGGAATTCTACACAAATTGATTGATTGATTGAGTTCATTGATTGTTCCTAGAAGCAATTGTTGAAAGAACTGAGTGGTAAAAGGCAGAGATGTGAGCTTAATAGAGGGTAAAAGCCTTGTGTATGTTCCGAGTGACTTTTGGTGAGGCAGTAAAATAAAATTTTAGTGTTAGGATGTCAGAAATGGCAGAATCAAACTCAAACCGACAAGGCAATAATAGCAATGCATCGGAGGATTTAGTGCAAAGATTTGAGAGGGCGTTTGGAGATGTGAGAGATAGGTTGGAGAAGCAGGAGGCTTGGATGAATAGATTAGATACATCGATGGCTAATCTTAATCGGGGGCATTGAGTGGATGTATCCAATGCCAGAGGACCGGATAGATGGGAGCCTAGGAGGGAAAGGCGAGAGGAGTATGGATATGGGAGTGACATGGGCGAAGATGAATTTCATGGTGTTGAGATGGGAAGGATGAGGAATAGAGGCGATAGGTTCCACAGACGGGGTCGGAATGATCGCGGGGAAGAGTTGGATGGAAACTTGGGAAATATAAAAATGACAGTTCCTTCATTCAAAGGAAGGAATGATCCCGAGGCATACCTGGAGTGGGAAAGAAAGGTTGAAATGATCTTCGAGTGTTATAACTATTCGAAGGAGAAAAAGGTGAATTTAGCAGTTTTGGAGTTCAGTGACTATGCACTTTCATGGTGAGATCAAGTGATTACTTCACAACGTAGGAGTGGGGAAAGACCAATTAGCACTTAGGAGGAATTGAAGTTATTGATGAGAAAGAGGTTTGTTCCTAGCCACTATTACCGAGAGATCCATAAAAAACTGCAAGGTCTATATCAAGGGTCGAAAAGTGTAGAGGACTATCATAAGGAGATGGAAATACTCATGATTAGGGCAATGTGGTAGAGGATCGGGAGGCTACCATGGCACGATTCTTGAATGGGTTGAATAGGAAAATTGCCAATGTAGTGGAGTTGCAACATTATGTGGAGTTGGAAGACATGTTACATGTGGCTATGAAGGTAGAGAGACAGTTGAAGAGGAAAGTGGCAGCTAGGCAGCAGTTAGGAACTTCGAGTGTTAATCCATCTTGGAAGCCAGGGTGGAACAACAACAACAAATGTGATAAACTTGTACCTAAAGGTAGGAATGAGTGGCAGAAAGGGAAAGAAGAAAGTGCTAGCAAAACAGCACCCAAAACAGATTTACAATCATCAAGGAATCAAGACATCAAGTGTTTTAGATGCTTGTGGTCAGGGCACATTGCTTCTCAATGCCCAAATAAACGGGTAATGGTTTTGTTGGATAATGGAGAGGTGGTGAGTGAAAGTGAATGAGAGTTTGAGGACATGCCTGCATTGGAGGATGTTGAAGAAGAAGAAAAATTGGAGTTTGCTGCTGGGGAATCGTTGGTGTCAAGGAGAGCTCTTAACACTCAAGTCAAAGTAGATGATTCGGAGCAGCAGCGAGAAAAGATATTCCACACACGTTATTATGTCAACGATAAGGTATGTAGTATGATTATTGATGGTGGGAGTTGCACGAATATAGCTAGCACAACTTTAGTTGAGAAATTAGGACTAGCATTGTTAAAACACCCTAGGCCTTATAAGTTGCAATGATTGAATGAAAGTGGGGAAGTTAGGGTGAATAAAAGAGTTTTAATTAATTTCTCAATTGGGAGTTATAGTGACAAAGTAGTATGTGATGTGGTGCCTATGCATGTGGGTCATATCTTATTAGGAAGACCATGGCAATATGATAGAAGGGTCACACATGATGGATATAGGAATCGTTATAGCTTTGTCAAGGATGGGAAGACTATTACTCTTGCGCCATTAAAACCGGCACAAGTGTATGGAGATCAAATCAAACTGAAAAGTGAGGAAGACGAGAGAATAAGAGAGTCAGGAAAAAGGAGAGGCAATAGTGAAACCATCAATAAGAGAGAAAATAGTGAGGTGGCTGAGAGTGGAGAAAAGAGAGAGAAGCCACATGAGCGGAGAGAAAAAGAGTCAATTGAGAAGAGAGAAAAAGAGTCAGCTGAGCGGAGAGAAAAGCCAAAGGTCAACTTCTATGCAAAAGAGAGTGAGTTGAAAAAGGTTATGAGCGATAATAGGCAAATGATATTGTTAGTATACAAGGAATCCCTCCTCAATTTCGAGGATTCTAACACATCCCTCCCTACTTTGGTTAAGTCTTTATTGCAGGAATTCGACGATGTGTTTCCTGAGGAGATGCCAAGTGGATTGCCACTAATCAGAGGCATCGAGCACCAGATTGACTTTGTACCCAGCGCTATCGTACCGAATCGACCAGCTTACCAAAGCAATCCTAAGGAGACAAAGGAGCTTCAAAAGCAAGTGGAGGAGTTGATGAGCAAAGGTTATGTAAAGGAGAGCATGAGTCCATGTGCTATACCTGTTTTGCTGGTGCCTAAGAAGGATGGGACTTGGAGAATGTGCTGGATTGCCGAGCTATCAACAATATCACGGTAAAGTATCGTTATCCAATACCTATGCTAGATGATGTGCTTGATGAGTTGCATGGTGCTTGCATTTTTAGTCAGATTGATTTTAAGAGTGGGTATCATCAAATTCGCATGCGGGAGGGTGATGAATGAAAAATGGCGTTTAAGACTAAGTATAGATTGTATGAATGGTTAGTTATGCCGTTTGGACTCACTAATGCACCGAGCACTTTTATGCGTTTAATGAACCATGTTTTACGTGTTTTTATTGAAAAATTTGTTGTAGTTTATTTTGATGATATCTTAATTTATAGTAAAAACCTAGATGAGCATTTAGAACATTTAAATTGTGTGCTTGTTGTGTTGCGAAAAGAACAACTATATGCTAATTTCAAAAAGTGCACATTTTGCATGGATAGAGTTGTTTTCCTAGGATTTGTGGTTAGTGCTAATGGGGTGGAAGTCGATGAAGAAAAGATAAAAGCTATAAAGGAATGGCCAACACCTAAGACTATAACTGAAGTTAGGAGTTTTCATTGATTGACTAGTTTTTATAGGTGATTTGTAAGAGATTTTAGCACCATCACCACACCGTCGACTGAAATAGTAAAGAAGAGTGTAGGTTTTCATTGGGGAGAATCTCAAGAAATTGCATTTAACACCATTAAGGATAAGCTATGTAAGGCACCTGTTTTGGCATTACCAAATTTTGATAAAACATTCGAAGTTGAGTGTGATGCATCAGGAATAGATATAGGAGCAGTGTTAATGCAGAAAAGGAGACCTATTGCTTACTTTAGCGAAAAGTTGAGTGGGGCAGCATTGAATCATCCGACATATGACAAGGAGCTGTATTCACTTGTTCAAGCATTGGAGACTTGGCAACACTACTTATGGCCACAGGAATTCGTGATATACACCGATCGTGAATCTTTAAAGCATTTGCAAGGTCAAGGTAAGTTGAACAAAAGACTTGCGAGATGGGTGGAATTTATCGAGACATTTCCCTACATCATCAAGTACAAACAAGGTAACGAAAATATAGTTGCTGATGCATTGTCTCGAAGGTACGTGCTTTTAAATTCATTAAGTACTAAATTACTTGGTTTAGAGCATGTTAAGGGCATGTATGAATCTGATTGTGATTTTTCTAGTATTTATGCTTCATGTGACAAAGGTGCATTTGATAAATTCTATAGGCATGAAGGATATTTGTTTAGGGAAGATAAGTTGTGCATCCCTAATTGTTCTTTACGTGAATTATTGGTAAGGGAAGCACATGAGGGTGGTCTAATGGGACACTTCAGGGTTCAAAAGACTTTAGACATGTTAGGGGAACATTTTTATTGGCCGAAAATGCGACATGACGTAGAACAAATATGTGGAAAGTGCGTAACTTGTAAAAAGGCTAAGTCTAAGGTTCAACCCCATGGTTTGTATACTCCTTTGTCTGTACCTAGTGAACCTTGGGTAGACATATCTATGGACTTTGTATTAGGTTTGCCTAAGACAAAAAGGGGTCGGGATTCAATATTTGTAATGGTCGATAGGTTTAGTAAGATGGCGCACTTCATACCATGTCATAAAATTGACGATGCTACTAATATTGCAGACTTATTCTTTAGGAAAATAGTACGTTTACATGGAGTACCTAAAAGTATAGTGTCTAATAGGGACGTGAAGTTTTTGAGTCATTTTTGGTGTGTTCTATGGAGTAAGTTAGGAACTAAGTTATTATTTTCTACAACTTGTCACCCACAAATAGATGGACAAACTAAGGTAGTTAATCGAACTATGACTCAACTACTTAGGATAGTACTCAATAAAAATCTGAAATCATGGGAAGAGTGTTTACCGTTTATCGAGTTTGCATATAATCGAGCTATACATTCTACTACTTCATTTTCTCCTTTTGAAATTGTTTATGGTTTTAATCCACTAACACCTATGGATTTAATGTCTTTGCCTGTGCATGAACGAGGTAGCTTGGATGGGAAACGAAAAGCTGAGATGGTGAAAACGCTCCATGAAAAGGTCAAGATGCAGATTGAAGAGAAAGGAAAGCTGATTGCATCAAAAACAAATAAATGAAGAAGACGCGTTACATTTGAGCCTGGAGATTGGGTCGGGGTGCATTTTAGAAAAGAGCGTTTTCCAGAGCAGAGGAAATCAAAATTGCAACCACGAGGCGATGGGCCATTTCAAATCATCGAGAGGATCAATGACAATGCATACAAAGTGGATTTACCAGGTGAGTACAATGTTTCGGCTACTTTTAATGCATCCGACCTCTCTCTATTTGATGCAGGTTTAGATTCGAGGACGAATCCTTTTGAAGAGGGAGGGGATGATATAATCCAAGAGTCGAACCCAACGAAGGCAAGTGCGAGACGAGACCCATTGATAGTCGATGGCGAACCAATGACGCGATTAAGGGCAAAGCAAGCGAAACAAGCGATGGGATTGCTCATTCAAGAAACCATTGATGGAACTATGTTCGGGACTCGAAATAGAGCAACTTTCATGTTCAGGTCGAAGGCCGAATCAATTTGGATCAATTTGTTATCAAGCGACGAAAGTGGAGGCTGAAGACAACACCATGCTGCCGCACAGGCAAAACCACATGCGGCCGCATGGATTTACACCATGCGGCCGCACTGGCCAAAAAAAATTGGCGAATTTTCTAATTTTGGCCGAATTTCCTAGTTTCGATAGAATTCTTATGAAATCAAATTATTACTATAATTTGATGGTTTTTGACGTTTTTATTCATTAGTATAAATAGGAGATTACTTTTCATTGTAACAACTTTGAACTTTTGACTTTTGAATTAATATTATAGAAAGAAATTTATTCTTTCAATTTATTATTCTTCTTGAACAATCTTGGAACTTATCAAGAATCAACTTCTTGTGGCGTTCTAATCAATCGGATTGTGGGTTCTTTCAATTGTAATCAAGGGGTTTTAGGTTCTTCGCTAATCTAGGGTTTCTTGGTTCAATTCTTGGGGTTCAAGATCCAAAATCGGGTTAGTATTGGCGTTCTTGGGTTCCGCATCAATCTCGTTGTGGGTTTCGTAGTTTCCATTGCTATTGGATTCGCATCACATTAAGTTTCACGAAAACTTTTGAGCTTCCCTAGATTCAAATAATACTTTGATTAGTGTCTTTTGATTTTTCTTACCACATACAATGTACATATTTTATATTGAAAAGCTCTCTCTAAAATAATAAATATTTATTTATCGATAAATGAATAATTTATTTATTTATCGATAAATAAATAACCTCGCTAAATGAATATTTTTTTCTGGTCCCGAGGGTATTACTTTATCGAGGTTTAATTGTATGTGAAAAGACACAACTTTTCAACATCTATATATAGATCTCAAAATTTGGGTAACTATTTTCACTGTTATTTTGTGCATTATCAAACTTGTGATATCAATCAATAGTATTTTTTGCATATTTTCTCAATCCATTTTTCGTAGTAAAAAGAATTACAAAACATTAGTAAGTTTGTAGTTCTTGGGATTTATAGTGCTACTATCACGAGAAGTTGATCGTTGCATCTCGTGAGACGTGTGCCTAAAAACTGTTACGCTCCGATCTGATACGCCTCGAAACACATACCACCACATATTTCGACCTGATAAAGACCTGTCCGAAGTGTTTTCGAAGTGATATCACTAACCTGACCGAAGCACCTCGCCCCCCAAGGCGGAAGCCAAGTAGACCCCGGTTAGAAGATCCACCGCCAATTTCAGAAAGAGATTTGTGCCAAGATCCTTCCTGAACCTAAGGTTTAAATTGATTTGACATCTCCATGAGGCTAGTTGATATGACTTATCAACTTTATGTCAATTCAACTCAAAAGAAACAAGCTGTCCGCCCACTCTACAGACGCGGCTGATTGACGCCTATGAGCGGACGCCTCATACCGTCAGATGTATACACGCGTCCTACATCCAACGGCTCATACCACCTATAAATACCCAAGGTTTGGCAAGAGGCAAAGAGAATGAAACTCTTACTACATAGCACTCCATAACAAGCTTATATATTTTCTCCTCTTCCTTATCATTGATTTGCACAGCCCCTGTGTACTGTTCCGACCACTTAAACCTGACTTGACCGTCGGAGCGTATACGGCCGCCACCACCCTCGCTGGTTCCGGCCATGTGCGCCTGACCATTCGCTGATTGTGCGCAGGGAGGAATACGTGGAGTAGCTCTCGGTTAGCCACGTGGAAGGACCAATTTTCGAGGTCAACAGATTGGCGCCATCTGTGGGAATACAATTCCCATTCAAAGTTTTGCATTCTCCATCGGAGAAGTTATCGGAAAACTAGCGACTAACCCTGAAAAGGAGACGTTCTTGAAAAAGAATAAAGTCGAGTTACAATCCAAGTTCTCACTACCCTTGAAAAAAGAGATAGGATGATTTATAGCCATGAAAACGACAACCCCATGAGAGAGACCTCTGAAGAAGAGGTACTCCATAACAATGTTACTCAGTAGAGACCACATCACCGGCGTCGTCGAGGTGGAAGAATAGTCATACTCACTGAAGAAATGGCTCGGATAGCTGCAGGTATGAGAGACATCGCAACTTAGAATATGGCAATGCATCAACTCTTCATGCAAGCCCAGGGTCATCAGGGCTATCAAATGCCCCAAGGATCTTATCCAGTGTGGGAAGCCCCTGTATCTCACTCCCGAGGCCACATGAGCCGGCACACAGAACGTCCCCTCAAAAGGGAGATGAACGCCGAAGCCACATCTTATGTGCAAGAGAGCCAGCCATCAGAACCACCCTTAGGGGACAATTTCCCTCAAGAACATGAGGATCAAAGGTCGGTAAGCGTCTTTGACCGGATAGGGGAGGGTCCTAGCAATAGGGTCCGCCCAGCAAGAGGATCAGTTCGTCCAGAGCACGAACAAGAACATGCTCCCCCTCCTCCTAGAAATAGGAGAGACATGAGGAACCTAGTCGATTGGAAAAGTCGAGGAGAAGCACCTCCACCTCCCCAAAACATCCAAGATGATGAAGGGTCAAATGGACCCTGTCGATCTTATGAGATTGACGATGATGATGATAACTTCCCTTTCTCAAGGGAGATCCTAAGCTTCCCAATGCCAGCAAATTTTATGCCCCCTAAGATCCCCAAGTATGAAGGAAAGGGGGATCCGGAGAAGCACCTCACCAAGTACATGACACAGATGAGCCTTAGGGGAGCCTCGCCTGCTTTAAAATGCAGAGCCTTCCATTTAACGCTAGGCGGGGCCGTCAAAGTATGGTACAGCAGGCTCCCTCCCCTAAGCATCAAAAGTTGGCCAAATTTGAAGAAAGCATTTTTGAACCAGTACCTCTCACGTAGGGAAGGAGAGGCACCAGTACAACACCTGCAAGATATGAGGCAGGCCCCTGGGGAGACACTGAAAAGCTATCTCGCCAAGTTTACAGACGAAATCACCTACTGCGAATAGGTCATTGACAGAGAAGCCCTTTCAGCCCTGAAAGGTGGGCTCAACATGAACACTTTGTTCTGGAGGGACGTGCACAGCAAGAATCTCTCCACATGTGACGAGCTGGTGGAAATGATGAGAGTGAAAATTGTTAGTGAAGAAATGATTGATCATTGCAACCGTGTCGCGCAGGGACTCCCTCCTCCTCATAGGCAGGTAGGTCGAGGACCCGCAGCACACCTTGTTACTCAACAATGGACCCAAGCAGGTCATACAATAGCTCCCACATCCGGACAGGCCCTAGCTTCCACCACATTGAATGCAGTACCGGTGTTGGCATATGATAATACCCCTGTCGAAGCGGGACCATCTAGAAGAGCTGATAACAAGAATAAGAAGAAGAGGTCAAACAGACCCTTGGAAGGGGCAAGGTTTTGTACGTTCCATCAACTCTATGGACATGACACTAGTGAATGTCGAGACGCTAGTTGACGCCCTGATCGAAGCAACCCGCAACCTTCCAGCAGGAATGAATATCCTCGCAGATCCGCCTCCCTGAGGAGAGGAGTGAGAGGTCACAGGGAACAATCTCCTTAGAGAAGAGAATCAGGGGACTGAGGTCAATCAAAACAGGGAAACCAAGCCCAATTTTCTAGAAGTCGGGTCATCAGGGAAATCAATACTATTATTGGGGGACCCCACGTCGGTGGCAACACTAGGAATGCCCAGAGAATTTACACAAGGGAAGCAAAGGACCCATCAATAATCACTTACATTGTCAACGAATTGCAAGCAACAGATAGGATGGCCCCAATCACCTTTTCACAGGAAGACTCAAAGGGGGTTCACCACCTCATTGTGATGCATTGGTTGTAAGAGCCGTAGTAGCTAGAAACGGATTAAAACGCATGCTCGTTGACAATGGCAGTTCCGTGAACATATTGTTCGACTCCACTTTTGACAAAATGCAAATAGAACATGGGTTGATCCCCATGACCGACTCACTATTCGGATTCACTGGGGACAACATAATCCCAAGAAGGCGGATCACCCTGCCTGTCGAGATGGGTTCGGCACCCCTAGTGGCCCAGCACTTCATGAAATGTTTGGTGGTAGATCATAGATCCGCTTATCATGGAGTTTGGGCAGACCCGCTCTGAAAGATCTTTGGGTTGTCACGTCCATTCACTACTTGTGCATGAAATTTTCAACCGAACATGGGATTGCTACAATTCGAGGTGATCAGGTGGGCTCCAAGGCATGCTACTTAAACTCGCTGCGAAAGTCCGAGCCCTGAGCTGTTAATGTAATCCTAACTGAGGTACCCACTAAAGTCGGTACGGACGTGGAAATGCTCGACGCCCCTGAACAAGGGCATCCCTCTAAGCAAGAGGGAGACGTCGATATGGAAGAGGTCCCTGAACAAGGACACCCTCTTGATGAGTTAGATCCCCGAATAATTGACTCTGAACCAAATGCGACCCCAATGGAAGAATTGGAGACTTTCCTTTTCAACCCAGAAGACCCCAGTCAGGTCTTACGTATAGGAAAGTCGTTGTCCCCTGAAGCAAAAGCAGAGATAATAAGCTTCCTGAAAGGGAACTTGGATGTCTTCGCATGGAAACATGAAGACATGGTGGGAATAGATCCTAGGATCAGTTGCCATCACCTTAACATCAACCCCTCCTATGCCCCCCATAGATAGAAGAGGCGTGCCCTCAATCAGAAAAGGTACGAGACACTGAAAGACAAAGTAAACAAACTTAGCCGCAGTGGTTTCATAAGAAAGGCCATCTATCCAAGGTGGATATCCAACACGGTCCTGGTGAAAAAGGCCAGCAGAAAGTGGAGGGTATGCGTGGACTTCACGAATCTAAATAAGGCGTGCCCCAAAGACAGCTTCCCACTTCCAAGAATAAATCAACTTGTGGATTCTACTACTGGACATTCATGGATGCATACTCAGGGAATAACCAGATACCCATGTTCCAACCTGATGAGAAAGCTACATTGTTCATTACGGACAGGGGTCTATATTGCTACAAAGTCATGCCCTTCGGATTGAAGAATGCCGGAACTACATATCAGTGGTTGGTCAACATGATGTTTGCTGAACTCATTAACAAAACCATGGAGGTCTACGTTGACGACATGCTGGTCAAAAGCCTCCAGGCAACCGAACACGTAAGTAACCTCAACCAAACTTTTCAGATACTTAGAAAATATAATATGAAATTGAATCCCCTCAAGTGTACCTTTAGAGTGGCATCGGGCCAATTCTTGGGGTATATTGTTAATCAGAGAGGAATTGAGGCGAATCCAGTGAAAGTAATGGCATTGCTAGAAATGAGGTCACCTCAGAAATCGAAGAAGGTCCAAAGTCTCAAAGGTCAGATAGCTGCACTCAGTCGCTTCATCTCTAGAGCCACAGATAAAAGCTTGACGTTCTTCAATGTGCTGAAACAAGGGAAGAAATTCCAATGGACTTCGGAGTGTGAAGAAGCCTTCGAGGCTCTGAAAAAGCACCTTGGAGAGGCGTCCCTCTTATCAAAACCTCGACCGGATGAGTATCTACTACTGTACCTAGCGATTTCGGACGTGGCGGTCAGCGCAGTCCTAATCAGAGAAGAAAATGAGCACCAATTGCCAGTGTACTACATCAGCAAAGCACTTCTCCCAGCTGAAACACGCTACCCAGACATGGAGAAACTGGCACTCACCCTTATCACAGCCTCAAGAAAACTGAGGCCATACTTCCAAACCCACTCAATACAAGTTCTCACCAACTTCCCACTAAAGCAGGTGATGTAGAAAACAGACGCATCAGGATGCCTGCTAAAATGGGCAATCGAGCTCAGTGAGTTCGATTTAACGTTCCGACCTCGACACGCCATCAAGGGTCAGGCCCTTGCTGATTTTATGGTTGAGTTTGCCAAGACCCCAGAAATGGAAGCGATAATGGAACCGACTGAGCCCCCCACATGGAAACTGTCCGTAGATGGGTCCTCAGGAGAGGCTGGCGCAGGGATAGGGATTGTACTGAAAAGCCCGAAAGGCCACAAGCTAAATTGTGCAGTGAGGTTCGACTTCAAAGCCTCAAACAACGCTACTGAATATGAGGCCCTTCTGGCAGGTCTTAGACTCGCTGAGGAGATGCGGGTCAGGAGTCTCCTGGCGAGCAGTGACTCTCAGCTTATAGTAAATCAGGTCAATGGAAACTTCGTAGCTAAAGATGGTAGCATGATTGCGTACTTGAAGTTGGTTCTGGACATAATTCCTCATTTTGAAAGGTTCAAACTGACTTAAGTCCCCCATCTAGAGAATACACATGCAGACGCCCTTTCAAAATTGGCCAGCAGCATGGATTCAGAGCTGCTAAATGTCATCCCTATTGAACACTTATTAAAGCCCTCCACCTTCGAAGGTGAAGAGATACTGTGGATAGAGGAAGGCACCCATTATGGATGCAGCCCATCAGCGCCTACCTGAAGGAGCAAACACTGCCTGCTTCTAGAGGCGAGGCGAGAAAGTTAAGAAGAAGGGCTGCACACTTCGTCCTGCAAGAAGATACCCTTTACAAGAGAGGCTTCACTTCGCCACTTCTTCGATGCGTAGGAGGCGAAGAGGCCACATGCATACTCAGGGAAATCCATGAAGGAATCTGCGAAAATCACTCCAGAGGAATGGCTCTGGCACACAAGGTTCTCCGTCAAGGCTACTTCTAGCCGACCCTGAAAAGGGATGCTTGCCAGTTTGTCCAGAAATGCGACAAGTGCCAGTGCTTCTCGAACATACAAAGACAGCCTGCTCAGAGCCTCTCCGTGGTAACCAGCCCTTGGCTGTTCGCCAAGTGGGACATTGACTTCATTGGCCCACTTCCAAAAGGGAGATGAAGTGCAACTTTCGCCATTGTCGCCATTGACTACTTCACTAAGTGGGTCGAGGCTGAACCCCTTGCAAGGATTGCCGAGGCTAATACTACCAAATTCGTCTGGAAAAACATCATTTGTAGATTCGGCATTCGCCACTCCTTAGTGTCTGATAATGGAAGGCAGTTCGACAACAGGAAGATGCGATACTTATGCGATGAACTGGGCATAAAGAAGGACTTCTCGACACCTCATCACCCCAAGCGAAT